AATGTAGTTTGAAGTTTAATTCCACAAAAATGCAGATTAGATTAGAATCTAATCTTTTATACTATTAAAATGTATTTATCATTCCCAGAAATAGGAGAATCATTAGACAATGATTGGAATTGTCATTAAATGTAAAATAATTAGATTATTTCTCCAGAGTTAATGACTTGTGCTCTCTCTCTCTGCCCCTGTCTCTGTCTCTCTCTCTCTCTGTCTATGTGTGTATACACACACACACACGCACACACACACACACACACACATATATGTGTATATATACACATATACATACATATATAATTTACCATGTCTCTGGTTCTTGCTAATTAGTGATGATCATTCTTTCATTCAATAGAATTTTATCCTTATTTATTAGAAGAATTTTAATGGAGTACAAAAAGGGTTTCAGTTGTTATGCAATGGAAAGAATGATGGATTGGGGATCAGAACACATGGGCTAAAATGCCTATTCTGCTACCTACTATCTATGTAACCTTAAGCATTTTCTGTGATAAGTAAAATGAGATTCTGGACAAGAAGATCTCTAAAATCTCTTTCCAGATTAAAATCTATTAGCTAATGATTTAATTGAATAATCCTGCTTTTTAGTGACAAAATTAGAGAATTATCATGCATTATACCTGTATGTCTTTCTGGGGGTTTTTTTGGTAGTACAGTTTGACCTCCTGTGTCTGTAATCTATGTAGTAATTTTTAGAATAGATGAATTTCTGGACTTACTAGACTACTACTAATATTTTTCAAATTGGGTATTAAATGACAGCTAAAAGGTTACAGTCCCATTTTAGTACTTGATGTACTAAGGGGGATGAATATCATTAATAATAGTCACATGATACAATCTTGGAAGGCTTATGAAGGAGGTGGTATATAAATTACATTCAACAAAAAAAAATAAAGCTTTTTAATGACAAAATGCTCTTATGCTTTAGAGAATAAGTAATACTTCCATGAGGGAGATGAGGATTCAAGGCACAGGAAAGAACTTAAGGAAACACGCTAACAGAGATATCAATGAAGAATTTGCACCTTTTGAGTTGATTTATTGGTCAATAAATATAGCTATCATTTTTCACAGGTATAATATTTTTTCCAAGAATTTCAGCTGTGAAAGTAGAGAGATCATATAGTAGTTGTATGGAATAATGGGGCAAATGGAAAGGTTTTTTTTTTAATGATTTGGGAGACTGAAGTATTTTTGTAGAAACGTATGAAGGAGAAAACTATGATGAAGAGATTGAAATTGAAGATTCATGTAAGAAAGGGGATGACTGCTGGAGTAGGGTTCTGATATGCACAGGATGAAATCAAATTTGGGTCACTGGAAGAGGGATTACCTTTATCAAAGGAGAGAGATAACTTATTCTGACATAGAACCTAAGGAAGTGAAAGTAGAAAATGATGCTGTGAAGTTTTAAGGAAAGGAACTGAGGAAGGTTGCATCAAGTGGCATCACATTTTAATAAAACAAGAGACTAAATTATCTATTAAATATCTGTCTGTAGTGTGTCAGAGGGAGGGACAGAGCAAGTAGTGAGGCAAATATTTGGTTAATTTTTCCGGGGCATAAAATGGGAAGTTGTCAGATATTTGTAGTATAATTGTAGATGAAATAGTCAACGTCTATTCATGAAAACTGTCTGAATTAGTGTTAAAATGAGAGATTATTTTCAGTGTGGGCATGTGGGAAAGGATTTAGGAAGCAGGTGCAATAAGCTGTGATAAGGATATCTCACTTGTTTGACATCTTCTAGATAATTTGACAATTTTATATCAAATGACAGCAGCAGATTTATTCCATATGGTTCTGTTTTCAATTCTATAGAGTCTATGTATTCTGTCTAATGGTTTAGTTATTATAGTGTGTCTCAGGCAAGCTCCTTCAAGCAAAATTTCATAGTGAATGACAAGTTATTGAGTTAACATGGGTCTAGGAGGTTAGATTTGTCAGCTCTGAAGATCTTAAACCATTTTAATCAGCCCCCTCAGGAGTGGTCAATTCATGAGCTAGCTAGTGTTTAAAAGACTTTTTCAGAGGGAGCTGATTTGTTCCAGAAAGGCATTTAATCTCTTCCCAGTAAAAGATCATTCCTGTCCACCATCGGGCCACTTTCTCTAGTATCCAGAGTCTTTATCCTGGAAAGTGAATTAGTAATTAATAAAATTATTTGAGGGTGATAGAACTGAGATGAGGATTTGGATGATCTGGAGAAGTATTCTATTTATACCACTAAAAGCCTGATGTATTATTCTTATTACGTTGTGGGGTTTAATGATGAACAAAATCATTGTGTGTATGAGATATAGTGTTACTTTCCCATGGAAAATCCTGGGTCACACAAATAATTCTTATTCTCCATCTTTTAACATATCCCATGTTTACTTTCTGTTTGAATTCATCACTGTAATATTGCCCCTTACTTTCCCTTTCAACATAGATCCTTAATATGTTTCCATGTGTGTTTTTTCTCCCTTATTAGAGGCTGTTATTTTTCTATTTGCATCCTTGATGATTACCACAGTGCCTTGCACATAATAAATGTTGCATTTATTCATCAGCTTATATCATGCGATAGAAAAAGCAATGAATTTAGAATCAGAATATTAGGGTTTAAGTCTCATTTCTTTTACTTAATTGCTTTGTGATGTTAGGCTATTTAACCTCTCTGAGCTTCATTTACCACAAGTTTTAAATAGAAGAGTACCTTAAAGGTCTACTTCAAACAAGATGGCAGAGTATATAGTGGTCAACTCTGGGTTCAGAAAGACCTGAATTTGTATATCGCCTCTGGCACACACTAGTTGTGTGGTTTTGAGCAAATCATTAATCTCTCAGTGTTCCAGGAAATTCTTTAAAATGAGTCTCTGATCTGCATAGGTAAAGAGAATTTCCACATTCAGAGTCTGACCCAGCAAAGTAATCATAGGTATACACCAAAACAAAAATAATACAAACCTACATTACTAGGTTGTTACAGGCAGGGAAATGAAAAAAATGTAAAGCACTATATAAATATGAAGTGTGAGTTATAACTCTCAAATTCTCATTGATTTCATTATAAATTGACTTATTTACAGTGACACATAGGGATATATGTCCTTAAATATGATCAAAATATGATGTAATCTCCTTAAATTAAGAGATCTAAGCCTTGTATCTCCCTTAGCATTTGACTCAGGGTATACCACAGGTACCTATTTGTTAATTTGAACAAGTTCAGGCAGGCCTAAGTAAAAGATAAGCAATCATGACAGACTATCTCTCTGTCTCTGTCTCTCTCTCTCTCTGTCTCTCTTTCTATCTTTCTGTCTCTCCTTCCTCTCTCCCTTTCATTCGTCATCTCCATCTTCTTGTCTTCTAATCTTGTACAATTATTCTTTGTTACTTGAAGGCTACAAAAATGGCATTTGTGCTTTCAGCTCCCTATGATATTGCCCTATTGGAGGAAATCACTAGAGCACTTAGAAAGTCAGTAACTAGATTGACATTTAAAATTGACAGATGAATTATATCTATTTCACAGAGTCAAAATATTGCAGATATTTTGTTGACATAAAAAGCAAAAACAATGAATCATTTCCATTCCGAGGAAGCTAGTCTTACAAATGGTTGAGGGAAATATAAAGACAATCTGTTTTATCCACATCAGTGGACACATGTCCTGAGTAGGCTGAGGTGATTTACCATTCTATCTCTGGCCGACATGCACATTCCTTCTTAAGCTTAAGTTTTTATCAGTGTGTCCTACATGCCTGGAATACACTCTTTCATGTCTGCCTTTTAGAATCCTTAACTGCCTTTGAAACTCAGCTCAACTCAGCTTAGATGCCACATCTGACATAAAGTTTTCCTTATTCTCTTAATTCTTTGTGATCTCTCCCTCCATCTTATATATTTATCTATTTGTATCTTGTCACTAGAACACAACTTCATTGGAGATATAAATTATTTTTCATCTTAGCCTTTTCCCCCAGTGCCAGGAAAGCATGCTTTGCATATAGTAAGCACTTAAGAACTATTTCTTAAAATGATTTAAATTTTGAGACATATCTCAATGGTTCCAAAGCACAATAACCAATAAAGTATACTGGCCAGTTTTTTTCAGAGACAGAACATGTGTTTTATATTATATAGTTTAGAATTAAAAGGAAACTTAGAGTTCATTAAGGCCAATTAAATCATCCCTCATTCCCCCATTTATACATCAGGAAATTGGGTTTAAAAGGTATTGTGGTTTTCTCTAGATCATATGGGCAGTAAGAAGGAAAGCCAGAAGTTGAACTCAGGTCCTCTGACTGCAAATCCAGATCTCCCTTAAACCCTATTATACTTCCTTCCTAGAAAAGATAAGATGTTATAGATATTATGCTTCCTTCTTATACCTATATGTAGATACTTATACATTAGATACCTGTACTTAGATATTATACTTCCTTCTTAGACAAGAAATATTAACTTCACAAAACTAACATACCATGTAATCCTTTCAGAAGCTTCAAAAACGATAGAATTAGATGCCAGGCGTACAGTGAAAAGATCATTGTCAAGAGGTCTGTATTCAAAACCCATCTATAATGCTTGTTATGTATATGGTTTTGAAAAAGTCATGAAGAGGTTGGGCAAAAGCACCTTTCAAGTCCCTTCCAGCTCTATAGCTATGGTATTAATGTTGGTATACCTGTGTTGTTCTTATACTTATATATCTAGTTTATAATGGTTGATGAAGATCTTAATTAGCTTATTTAGACAGAATGGATTTTAAGGGAGATAGAAAACCTAGTATGGCAACAAACATAATGATTGTATCATCTTCCTCTAACTGAATCTGAAAGCTAAAATTTAAAAGTAAACCTCCTATAGCACAAAGGTAACATTCAACAAATAACTCATTCTACTAGAGATGTGCCACAATCCTATAAAAAACACTCATTTGGGCCTGTGCCACACTGTCCCCGGATTTCTTGGACGATGTGCAGCAGATGAACAAGTGGCAGCTATATTATCAAATCCTCAACTTTGAGATGATTGTCTCCTCAGCTTTAATGATCTGGAAAAGACTCATGGTAGTAAGTAGAAGTGAACGCCCAATTGTAGTGGTGCTCAGTGGAAGCATGGAAGATGCATTTCACAGAGGGGAAGTTCTGTTTTTAATTTATGAAATTGAAGATCCTATAAGAGTAGGAGAGATTGTTGTCTTCAAGACAGAAGAAAGGGGAATTCCAATTGTTCACTGGATTTTGAAAATTCACGAAAGGCAAGATGGACATGTCGAGTTTTTGACCAAAGGAGACAATAATGCTGCTGCTGATAGAGGGCTATATAAGCAAGGGCAGCTCTCGCTAGAGAAGAAGGGGGTAGTAGGAAGAGCAAGAGAGTTTGTTCCATATATTGGAACTGTAACGATTCTTATGAATGACTGTCCTAAATTTAAGTATGCAGTCCTCTTTTTACTGGGTTTATTTGGTCTGGTCCATCAGGAGTAAGATGTTTGCCTTATAGCACCTGAGGAAGATACTATGCTTTTTGTTACAAAATGATTGGAGTAGATCCTGAGCTGTGAAAAGTGGTAGCAAAAACTGCAGATTTCAATGCATCTTGGTCACATCTATTTGAATTACTTTATGTTTCCACTGCAGAATGTAGATGACTGTGTGGGTGGGTGAGTATGTGCCTAGGTGCACACATATAGGGAATTTCTGCCACAGGTTTTCCTATGTTCATGTCACATTTTAGCATTTTTGTACATCAGTGAATTTTTTTATATTAAAAGCTTGAGCCAAAAAAAAAAAAGAAAAGAAACACTCATTTGACCAGTTGAATAGGTTCTGCTTTTAAGAAGAATACTATTGTACCAGAGGCTAAAAAATTATATCTTTTTAGTGTTCCCGGATGAATTTCCTTTAAAAGTGAAATGTTCAGGGTTTTTCTAACAAATTATATGATCTTGGTTTGTATCTTATTAATCATAATAGCATGTTAATTTTAGTGTATCCTTACAATTTTATATTTTTGGTTAAGTCCCATTAGAACAAAAACCACTGCGACAAAAAAAAATTCATTTTAACAACAGTACTTCTAAGGCCCATGGTAACAGCATTTTGTTTTCGCTTTTCTCACTCACAGCTAATTAGCAGTTAATAGTTCTATATATTTTCTTCACACTGGTCTCTCATTTTATTTTGTTTACCTTAAAATATATAATAGGTACATTGATGTGGAGATAAACTATCCAAAACTTTCTGAGGAATGTGCATTGCACATAGCTTGTGCTTAATAAATATTTCCTGAGTGAATATAATCTTAATTATTTCAATATTGTATAATGGCATGGATTTCCTCTTCCATTATAAGTGTGTGAATTTGTGTGTGCATGCATGTTTTTGTGTCTATGTACATTGCTACCACATGGAGATAACTGTATATGTGCATGCGTGCATGCGTGCGCACCCACACAGCCACACACCACACACACACCACACACACACACACACACACACACACACACACACACACAAGAAGACAAAGGAAGTCCCTTGTCAAGTACTCTCCCATGCAAAGGGATATGGGCATGAAAGAGGATTCTGCGGCCTAAAATTTGAAAGGGAAATAAGCCCAGAAGGGATAGGAAGCTCTTCAAAAAGGAAATTCTGAAGAATCAAAGAGAATTATTCCACTGAAGAAGATATAAATGATATAAAAGACATAAAACCTTTCCTAAGATCTGGGTAAACTACATCCAAGCACAGAGATCTGAGCTTCACCCTACGTTATTTAAGAGTTAGCAATGACTTGAATAACAGGATAGATGGTATTTGCAAATGGCATAAAGTTGGGAGGGATAGCTAACACACTGAATCACAGAGCTACAATCCAAAGAGAACATGAGAAGATAAAGCATTAGGTTACTTAGATTTTCAACAAAGTTTTGAGTAAGTCTACCATTCTATTTTTTAGGCAAAAGATAGAGAAAATTCAGTTCAATAATACAACTGTTAGATAGATTCAGAATTGGCCCAATAGCCACAGATACTTGTTAAATATTTTATATCAACTCAGAAGACTGTCTGTAGTGAACTCCCCCAACAATCTGTCTTTTGCCTTGTACCATTTAATATTTTTATTAGATAAATGAAAGTATAATTGGCATGATTGATAATTTTTTATATTGCTACAATCAGAATCCAAAGAATCTCTATTCTTAGATATTAATGTAATAAAAGTCAATTTGAGTCAATAGTGTGATATGAAAGTAAAAAGTGTAACTCCAATCAAAGCCTGAATTAAAAGATACAGGACTAGGATCATGAAGGTTCTGCAATTTGCCCTGTCATACCACACATGGTGGTGTAAATGGTGAATACCTTCAAGATCTTGTCATACGAGAAAGGTTAAAGGAAATGATAATAGCCTGGAGAAGTGATTGTGTGTGTGTGTGTGTGTGTGTGTGTGTGTGTGTGTGTGTGTGTAGGCAGAGATGGTAGAAGGAATATGTAGAAATAGGGCCTTCTTCTGTGATTTTTAAGCATAGGGAATTCTTAAGTGAGGAAATTATCTCTACTTACTCAAATTGGTACCTTCTCTGTGAAGTAGGTAGCTGCCTAAAGCACTGGGAAGTTAAATGTGTTGCCCAAGGTTACATAATCATTAGAGTTGAGAATTAAACCAAAGGATTTTGTCTTTGTTTTACTTAAAGTTTGGTTTTCAATCTTCCAAATCATTCTGGCTCTCATGTTAGCTATGTTCAAGTATTTGAAGGGTTAATACATGGGCAAGGGATTAGAGGTATACATGTTCACAGAAAGTAGAACTCAAAACAATTGGGGAAGTTTTAAAGACTAAATTAGGTTTGATATTAGAAAAAATATAAAGCTTTAATAATTGTAGCTGTGTAAAAGTAAATTTGTCTTCCTCATGCAATATTGTAGACTGTAGTTGTGTTCAACATAAGCTGGACTATAGACAGTCCCTTGCTAGTGAGATTCTGTGATTCTAAGAATCAGGTGAGGTAACTACAGATACTTAGCCTAAATAAAAGGAGATTGGTGGGGGAAAGAGGAGGGATCATATCAGCCCTTCAATTTTTTTTGAAGGTATGTTATATGGAAGGGGGATTATGTTGGTTTTGATTATTCTCAGAGAACAGAACTGGGATCAATCAGAGGAAGGGGGAAAAAGTAACAGATTTTGGCTCAAAATAAATATTTTTGTTCTTGTTCAGTCCTGTCCAACTCTTTATAACCTCATTTGGGGGTTTTCTTAGCAAAGATACTGGAGTGGCTTGCTGTTTCCTTCTCCACCTCAATTTACAGATGAGGAACTGAGGCAAACAGGTTAAGTGACTTGCCCAAGATCACATAGCTAATAAGTGATGAGGCTGAATTTGAATTCATGAAGATGAGTCTTTCTGATCCCAAGCCTGCTATACACCTATCCACCCTTCCTCATACAACAGAGTTATCCAAAAGTGGAATGGGCTTTTTCAGATATTAGTAATTACCCAACTCTGATGGTTGTCAAGCAGAAGCTCTTCATGACCACTTGTGTAGGATGGGGTTGAGGAGATTCCAGCTTAAAACAAATTGGGTTAAAAGACCTCTTTGGTCTCTTCCAATTTAGATTCTATTTTTCTCTTTCTTGAATACAAAATTTTCTGTATCTTTAACGTAACAGAGTAGTGCTAAAGTAATGGGGATGCATGGGCCATTCTTGAGAGCTGATTCTATAGCAAGTCATTCTTAAAAAAAAAAGATAGAAATGCATTAGATCTACTTGGCAGAACTACTGGCAGAGACTTTCTACATTTTAGTTGCCTTACATTTTTGTATACATGGGTATCAACAGATTGTCATTAACCAATAAAGGACAATCCCTAGGTTCTAGATTTCCCTATATAAACATACAAACAGAATTTTCATAACAACACAGACTTACCTATACTGAAAATAAGAAGAATGGCCTAATTGGTTTCTAGATTCATTTATTTTAGAGTTGATGAACCTTTTATTATCATGGGAATTTTAGGTTATCCATTACTTAATTTTAGGTGTTTTGTTTCCTTAGGAGGAAGTTGATTAGAACCAAGAGTAAAGGCAGAATCCATTGGATAGGTTAGAGATTTCTGACTTCAGATAAGATTCCAAATCTATGAAGGTAAATTGGAGATGAGAAAAATACTTTTCAAAATTTAATCCAAAACTTATGTTTGGAAAGTTAAGGAATACCTAGTCCTTCTAAATGGATTTGATGGACAAAGCAGAAAATATTAGAGATAGTTTTTTTCCTATTCCCTGGACAATGAGAGGTAGTTATTTTTTGTTTCCTTAGCAATAATACTATGGATTTATAAATTTCTTTCCTACAAAGAGGTCTAGTTTAAATGTGTTATGAAAATATATTTTTAATATTTTGCAAAAGGAAATGGGATAACAGAACATAATAAATGGAAAGGATATTTATTGGATTTGGATCCAAAAAACCTAGGTTCAATTCATATCTCTGCTACATATTACCTGTATGACTTTTCTCTCTCTCAGTTATTACAGTTGTAAAATTGTAATCATTTATGAAATCAGTGAAGTTATCAGAGATAGCCTAATGTTCTCTCATTCATGAGAGCATTTTCAAGAAAAATGAACATGCAAAGACACACACATCCATACAGCTTCCCATCCCCACCCCCAGTCCCCATCCATATATGTATAAACTTTAAAACATGATAAAACTTTAAAGATCAAAAGGACCTTATAAACCATCTAGGCTAACTGGATGACTTTATAGATGGAAAACTAAGGCCTAGCGAGGTAAAGTGATTAATTTGCAGAGGCAGGGTATAAACCCAGTTCTTCAGACTCATAATCCAAGGCTATGCATTATTCAAACCTGGTTTAAGTACCTTAAAGGGAAAGCATTATGCAAATTTGGCACCAGGACCTATGGGAATATAAGGAGATAGCATTGTCTTTATTGATCAAGAAAAAAAAAATGAGATAGAATGAGCTCATTGGAAGACTGAAATGCAAAAAAAAAAACCAAACATCTTTAGTAACTAAGTTGGGACCAGAATCTGTCTCCTGACTTTGATTCTAGTTATATGGCATTTTATATTATAACACTGAAATTACATGCATACACACACACACACACACACACACACGCATACATTTAAATAAATCTGACAATTCTTTTCATAGGGCTTCACATAAACTAGATAATTACATTTATATATGCATGCATGAAACCACTACCTTCTCTGATCTCTACACCCTTGAATTAAAAGGCCCAAGGAATAAACCAAAAGAAAAATAGTTTATGTGAAGCCCTATCATATGCATATATCCACATTTACATATATGTATATATTACCTTAAATTACCTTATCCCTTGAATTAACAATCCCAAGGAATAAAAAAAAACCCAGCTTTTTATAATTTGTAGATATTATAAAGGACTATAATTTTTTGATGTTGCACTTCAGAAGAAAAGTTTTGACTAGCCATTTC